AGTCCAGCTGCAGGGAGGGCAGGGGGTCTCGTTGGGACGCCAGTCCCATTTCAAGGGTTGCTGTTGCCCCTGAGGGACACTGGGGACACCTTGGGACACATGGCCAGGCCGTGGCGCAAGGACCATCATCTCTTGGCGTTGGCAGATTCAGGGCTCACCCTCCCCACGCAGGGATGTGCTCCCTGGCCTGGTGCATCCCTCCATCCCCACCCCACCCCCCCGGGTGACACTGCTACCTTGGTGTCCATCTCACTGAGGAGCTTCTCCAGGGCTTTCTGCCTGTCCTGGTCCAGCAGGGACATCCTCTGCAGCAGGTCCTGCATCATCTCGCTCAGCTGGACCATGGCATGTTGCAGCTCCTCCTGGCTCACTTTGGTCTCCAGTGCAGCCTTGTCTGCTTTCTGAGGGAGGCATGGTGTCAGCCATCCCCTGCGGAGCCCCAGCCCTGCCACTATCCCCGCATGCCTTTGCTTGCTCACAACGCCCAAGCCCCACTCCAGCAGCACCTTGCTCATGGCTGGGTGCTCCACCATCCCGCGCAGCCTCCATGCCTGCCACGCGCCCCCAGCCACCCGCCCTCCCCTATGCCTCCCTCGGAGCCGCTCACCGTTGTTCGTCCCCAGCTCTGCCAGCATGGCATGGCCACAAAATCCTGGCACGCTGAGCTGCTTTGGAGTGGGGAGGCGCCAAGTCTGGACAAGGCTGCACCCAGCCTGGTTCAGGCGCCAACCATGGCACAAAGCGGCTCCTGAGCTGAGCCTGGGGCTGTGCTCACCTGGGTGTCCTTGGTGTCACCCCACAGCCGCTCCACAGCTTCCTGCAGCCTTGTGCACTGCTCCTGCAGCTGCCCCACCTTGCCCAGCACCTCCCTGCCGAAATCCAGCCCCTGAGGAGGACAAATGTGGCCCTGGGTGAGAAACAGGGTGGCTGCAGGACCCAGGCGAGGCAGGGAGGTATGCTTATGGGTGGCTCCAGTGAGTGGCTAGCGAGGACATCCCGAGAGATGCCCCAGTGCGTCCCCGGCAAGCGGGGTGCGGAGCTGCAGCCCCCAGACCCTCGGGGCAGCCCCCCCCCGAGGCCCGGGCAGCTGGGCACCTTCTCTCCTCCGTCCTGCAGGTGCCTCATCTCGGCCGGCACCTCCTCCAGTTGGGCAGCCACGTCCTCCAAGGTCCCCGAGTTGGCTGAAAACAGACACCAAAGCTTTGCTCCAGGCGGTGCTGGCTCCTGCAGGCCCCCAGCATGGTGCTGTCCCAAACCCAGGTGGCTTTATGGCTGCGGAGACCCACCGGCCCCGCTGCCAGGCCCCGGGTATGGTCAGCACCAGGGCACCCAGGGGTGCCGCAGAGGGCAGTGACCACGTCCCTGCCAGCCATGCCAGCGTGGCTGGGAGCGAGGCAGAGGGACAAGGGGGCTGCAGCAGCTTGGGGACCCAGACGGGATGGCTGAGTGTGGCCCCGCCATCCACTGGTCCTGGCAAAGGTGGCACAACTCAGCACGGTGGCCCGGCATGGTGGGGATGTCGGCGCTCACCGTGCTGCTGGAGCTGGCTCTCATGGCGGCTGACATGGGTCCCCACGGCTTCGTGCTGCTCCAGCAGCCAGCTCAGCCTGCATGGGGACTCGTGGGCTGACTCCTGTGAGGGCTTGGGGCTGAGCTCCTGGCTGGAGAGCTTCTGAAACAAAACAGCCCCCAAGGTTTTGGGGAGAGAGAAGATCCCCGTGCTGTCCTGGAGCCGAGGGGCATTGCCAGCAAGGGAGCCTGGCACCCAGGAGCCTGCACGCACCTTGCCAGCGGGCGCCCCGCAGAGAGAGCTGCAGCACAGTGCGGTGGCATGCCAGGGGAAGGAGCTCAGCTCCCGATGCACCTCTGCCTGTGACCAGGAGAGAAATCAGCCCTTCTGTCCTGCTCCAGGAGCAGAGAGCCTGGGCAGCCCCCAGGATGGGGAGGGCAATGCCAAACCTTGCCACCACCCCCAGCGCCGTCCCCAACCCTGCAGGTCCCCTGGGCCTCAAAATCTAGAGGGTATAATCCACCCCTGTGTCTGCATTGCCATGTCCCAGGGTGATGATGCTCTTCTGGCATTGCAGGAGGGACAAGAGCAGTGGAGGTGGCTGGTGGAAGCCACCAGGACACCGGGGCACCTAGGGATGGATGTCCCTGCTCCGGTGGCTGGAAAGGTGACATGGACCCTGCCAGAAGAGCCTTGTGGGGCCAGATGCTCTCCCAGGCAGGTCACCATGGCCAGGGCAGCCCTTGGGAGGCTCGAGTGCATTTTCCATAAGGATTTGCCAAAGCCTGACCCTGGACAGCTTGGGGACAGTCCCAGGGGCTGAGTGCTGAGTGCCTCTGTGCACGGTGCCGCAGACTCCCAGCCCCTCTGCCAGGGCTCCCCCCACTCACCATTCGGTCCAGGATGCTCCGCAGGAGGTGGCCGTGCTCGTCCTGCTGCACCGACCGCTCTCGCAGCTCCTCCAGACCAGCCTGTTAAACAGAGGCATCAGGGGGTTCGGCATCCACAGGGGTTGGGAATGGCGGGGGTCAGCATCAGCAGGGACAGACAGGGATCGGCAGCACCCAGCCTGGGCCAGGGCTGGGCTCCCTGGCTGCAGGCAGTGTCTACTCAAAACCCCCGGGCTCCAGGGCAGATCCCCCATCTCCCAGCTTAGCCTTGGGGTGGGAAAGAGCCTGAGCTTGGGACCTCATCCCTGTCACCCTGTGCCACCTGGCCATCCATGCAGGTCCCTGGGGAGCCCAACAGCTCTGCCAAGAGATCTCCGGCAACTAGCCCAGCTTCATGCATGCACCTTCTGGAAATTGTCCTTCAGGAGCTGCAGCTCCTCCTGGAAGCCCTCGACAGTGGTTTTCAGGGAGCAGATGGTGGTGAGCATCTCTTGCAGCATGTCCATGACCTGAGGAACATGGGTTTGGCCACTGATGCTGGGTCCCTGTGGGCTCCGGGGGACATGGGGAGAAGGGAGGCTAAGTGGTGCACAGTGAAGACCCGGGTTTGGGGGTGTCTCTGGGACCCAACAGAGCTGCCACAGCATCAGCCACATCCAGCTGGCCCATGGCCATGCCCATGGAACTCCCCCAAACTGAGATGGAAGACACTCGAACGGGACAAGCTTCCCAGCTCCAGCTTCCTCGCCCCGTGCTGTCACCTTTTCCTTTTGCTCTGTGGTTGTGCTCAAAGCCAAGGTCATGCCATGTGACACGGGACCAGCTCGGGGCTGCCCGGTCTCACAAGGGATGAAGTGTTGGGTTTGCTGGGGGCCAGCCCCACGCTGCCTGTGGAGAGGACAGCCAGGCACAAGGCCACCGCAACTCATCCTTGCGCTGCAACGTGTGGCTTGAGCAAGGAAGACAGCTCTGATGTTACGTGTGTTGCGTTTCCCACTCAGAGTCTAAACGTGAACAGCCAAATAACTTGAACTTGTGCTGTTGGCAATGTCTCCCACGGGATCCTGCCTTGGCGTGGGGAGAGCCTGCTGTGAAGCAGCACCGCTGTCACCCGCAGCTCAGCCACTCACTGTGCCGCAGGGAAGAGAGGAGAAGAGGAGCCTGACGGGGATGCTGCTGTCGCTGCTGGGGGGAGTGGGAGCTGTGTGCTCCTGCCCACACCCACCCCAGCCCCAGGCACGGCTGGGGGACCCTTGCCAGGGCAGGATGGGACCCAACAGATCTAAATCTCAGAGCAAGTACTGATGGAGCCTCAGGGGCGGGTCAGAAGTGACCGAAAACACCTTTGGCCAGTGGCTGTGTTAAATACTGCTCTTTAATAAGTGGAGCTGGGGCCACCACAGCCAGAAAGGTGCCTCCGTGCTTCTCTGGGCTCCCTGGTCCTGGGGCAGCAGATGTCATGGCAAGGGCAAGACATGACGGGCATGTCACTGTGTAGGGCAGGACACTACATAGGGCTGGACACTGTGTGGCAGGATGCCGTGTCGGGTGGGACACTGCGTAGGGTACAAGATGGGGCAGTTCACTGCATGGGCAGGACCCTGCATAGGGCAGGACGCCGCCCAGAGCAGTACATCATGTAGGGCAGTGCGTGGCATAAGCCAGGACACCAACGTAGGGCAGGATGCTTGCGTAGGACAGGAGACTGTGCAGAGCAGGACACTCCATAGGGCAGGCTGCCGCACAGGGCAGGACACTGTGTAGGGCAGCACATGGCACAGGGCAGGGCCCCGTGTACGGCAGGGCCCCGTGTAGGGCAGGGCCCCGTGTAGGGCAGAACCCCGTGTAGGGCAGGACGCGGCACGGGGCACACCCCGCTGTGACACTGTAGGGCAGGACCCACAAGCCAGCGGCCCGGCAGCAGTGATGCAGCAGCGGGACTGGCGCCCTGCCGAGGATGGGCACCATCCAGAGGGTGGCTTCTCACCTTCGTCATCCCCTCCTCAGTCACCTCCATCCTCTTCTTCAGCTGCACCATTTGCCACGCTTCGGCGGCCGGCCTGCCCGGGGCCGGCAGCTCTGTGGGGCCTGGGGGCCCGCTGGGGCGGCTCGGCTGCCCCTCTGCCCTCCCCAGCCACGGCTGCTGACGGAGGGAGCAGGGCTTCCCCCCGGCCACAGGCTCCAGGAGACGCCTCTCGTCCTCCCCGACCTGCGCCGTGGCCTCCTGCGGGTGGAGGTGCTCCAGGAGGCCGCGCAGGAGGAGGCGGAGGGCGCCGACCCGGGGGCTGCC